GATTCATGCGTGCTGCTCCATGTTCGACCTGCAGAAGTAGAAATTACTGAAACCACCAGGACGAATAGAGGAGTAACATTTTTTTCCACCGTATGGAAGCAGCCTAGGACACAGGTGGGAAGTAACACCCCTCAGGCCTTATTTCCCAATTCCCTCTCATTCCAGAGGTTGCATTATGCTGGTATGACTGCAACAGGGTTACAAGCAGGACTACAGTACTATATATCCAATGTTTCTGGAAAGATCTGCAGAGCTTTTTTTTTTTTTAATCCCGTTTTTCATTTGCATCAGAAAGACTTGCTCTTAAAGAAGAAGTGCCTGTTACTTGTGGTTGCGGATTGAATATTCTGCCATCTGGAAACAAGACATTTCATTAGAAAAGGTAATGGTGTCGTTTCACAGGCATGAGGCTTAAGCTGGAAGTTGCAGAACTAAAATCATTACAGATTCCAGCGACAGTATGTGTCTTTAATGTTCATGGCCAGGAAAGTAAATGACACATTTCTTATTAATTGTTTTTCATTGAGTAATATACACAATCAGCTTCCTTGAGGGAACATTTGAGCTAATTGCCTAACCCTAATGTAACGTGCTTTAATTTCAGGATGCCAAAATAACACAAATTAATCACTTATGCCCGATGTAATAACTGCAGTATTAGGATTTTTTTTTTCACCCTGAACATTCTCTAAATGTAAAATATCTAAAGATAGAGTGGAGGTGGATGGGACAGTTTGCAGATGACGAGTTGGAATAAAAACATCTCCGTGAAGCCAAAAACATGGCAACCAACATTTTCTGTTATAAAAATATTTTCCATCAGTTGAGTTCTTCTGTGAAAGCTGTCTGAAACCGAAATGAAAGGCAGCCGCTGTGCGTTCGCGCACAGGCAAACAGCTCCAAGGGTACCTGCCACACCGCAGTCCGCGAGCTGCGCCGCGCTCCAGCTCGCCCAGGGCCGCCCGGCGTGAGCTAACCTTCACCTGGGTAAAGCTGGTCACCAGAAAGGAGGCTTTTCAGGAAACGGATGTTCCCCGTCCACTAGAGGCAGTACGGAGACCAGCGACGTCGCCAGAGAACACCCCGAGGTTGAAAAACCGTCGCGAACATGGACTTAGAAAAAAAAATAAAGTTGCAGAGACCAGCCGAAGTGGACAGTCGCGGCTCACTGAGGCGGCCATGGATAGGGATCTGGGTATTTTTCAAACGTGAGAAAGAGAGAGAGAAAAAAAATAATAATAAAAACATGTCCGGAGCCCTCCACCTTCCCTGTAAGGGTGTTGCTTGTGATTGCCGAAGCTCGCAGCTCGGTCCCTAGGCGTGCGCTCTCTCTCTTTCTCTCTCTCTCTCGGCGGTTCTGGATCCCGCGCCTGGCCCGGTGACTGCTAGGTCCCCACAAACTCGGCCCGAAGAGCCCCCTGACACCGTGTACAGTCAACAGCGGCGGCTTCAAACGGAAAACGCGGGCATCCAGTGTGCAGACCCCGAGTTCCGAGCACCTGAAGGAGGTCAAGTGCGGCTCCGTTCCCGACTGGTCTTCCAGAACTCTCGGCCAGGCACGAGCTCCCTCGGCGGGGATGTCCCTTGTCTTCCGTCAGGTGCCGCAGCTGCGGGGCGAGGTGCGCCCCTCCGGAGCCGAGTCCTTCCTGCGCGCCCACGCACCCTGACACTGGCCCGGCGGGTGGGGAGAGGGGCGGCAGTGTGGTGCGGGGTTGAGGCACCGCACACTAGCCAGGCGAGTCCCGGAGGAAGTTCTTGGGCGCGGATTTGCAAGAACTGAGGTTGGGTGCTCCGTTCGCTTTCTCCATCCCCTCCACGGGTTACCTCATTTCCGATGAAATTAATGATCCTGAATTAGCTGCGGGAGGAACACACGCACGCACGCGCGCGCACTCCGGGGCGGGCGGAGGTCGTGCGTTTAAGGGCCAGCGCGGCCGCCCAGGACTTAACTTGGGCTGCCCCCAAGCCTTTTGCAGAATAAGCCAGGAGAGGTGCTCCCCGATGGGGGGGAGGGCCGGGGGGTCGCCCGCGTTCGGGGGTGGCGCACAGGTGTGGCTGTATATGCAATCGCACACAACCTTACAACTTTCCCGAGTTGTGCGCAAAAGCCACCCCCGCGGTCCCGGGCGAGCCGCGCTGGGGGGTTCCTGTGCAGCGGAGGACGTGCTCGCCAAGCCGGCCGGTCCGCTCCGCCGGGCGCCGGGGGCCAAGGGCACGTCCGGATTGCGGCCGGCCGGCCGGCCCACCTCTCCCCGCCCCCCCCCAGCAACCTCCGCCCGGGTTATTTCTCAGGCTCGGAACCCAAGCCGCTCCCCCGCCATCCTCTTCCAGGCCGTCCGAGTCTTCGCCAGGTCCCCCTCCAACTAGGGTGGAAGCCACCCGGGTTGGATAGCGGCGACCCCACCGGTTCCAGCTCCGATGACCTCATCGTCCCAACTCCCCGCCCCTTTCTCGAACCTGGAAGGAAAGGCACCGTCCCCTGGGGGCCCGCGGCTGTCTTTCCCCTCCCGCTCCTCCGGGGCCGAGCGCCGGGCTCCCGGGGAGGCGCGCACCCAAGGGTTAAGGGCGCGGGCCGCCGCCGTGCGCTCGCCTCGCCGTGTGCGCGGCTGGCCGGGCCGCCTGCCAGGGGGTGCCCCCTCCCCCCGCCCCACCCCCTCCCCCTCCCCCTCCCACCCTCTCGCGCCCGTGAAGTCGGATCCTTGAGCTGCGGCGGCGGCAGCCAACTGCTCCATATTTGGCTTCTATTACACATTTACATACTGGAGCGAGCAGAGCGCGCGCGAGAAAGCGCGAGGGAGGGCGGGCGGAGGGAGGAGGGAGGGAGGGGAGGGGAGGGGAGGGGAGGAGGAGGAGGAGGCGAGAGCAGAGTGTACCGCAGACATCATTTCTACTACAGTGGCGGAGCCGTACAGGACCTGTTTCACTGCAGGGGGATCCAAAACAAGCTCCGTGGAGCAGCAGCCAGAGCCACAGCGGCCGCGAGACACTCTCTCTCTCCCCTATCCCCCTTCCCCACGCAACCCCAGATCCATTTACACTTTACAGTAAGTGGCTTATTTTTTCTTTCCTCCTTGGATTCTTTCTCCCCCCTCCCCCATCCCCTTCGCGCCCCCCCCCATTTAGATTAAAATCTCCCCCCCTCCCCACCTCTCCCTCCGCTCTCCCGAGAGGGGGCCAAAAAAGCAACAACCAGCAAACAAACCCCAAACCCCAATTGGCTGCACGGAAAACAGCTGGAAGAGGAGCGAAGGAAACCGACGCGTCGTGTTGTGTGTGTGTGTGTGTGTGTGTGTGCGCGCGCGCGCGCGTGTCTGTGTGTGTGTATACAACCGTTCCCGGCTCCAGCCTCCAGGACCGTACCCCAGCTCTGAGCGCCCAGGCGGCCCGCTAGGGGGACTTGCCAGGGCCCGGGTGGGCGCCAGCCGGGCGAGGGGGCGCGCCCGGGAGGGGTGCGCGGGCGGTGGAGAGCGGCGGCCGTGGCGGCAGCGGCCGTGGCAATTGCCGGTCCGGCCGCAAGTGCGGGGAACCATGTCCCCCTTCCCTCCGGGTGGCGCAGGGGACAGGCGGCGGTGGTGGCCGAGGGGGCGCGCTGGCCGCTGCCCACTGCCGCTCCCTCGCCGATCTTCCTTCCTCCCCAGATTGGGGGAGCTGAGAGCGAGAGGGGCTCTCGGGTGGGCTGGGCTTCCCCGCCTGCCGGTCGCTTGGCCTCGGCGCCCCTGGGGCGGAGGTGGAGGTGGTGGTGGAGGTGGAGGGGTCCTTGCCGGCCGGACGGCCCCCTTTCCCGGACGTGCGGCTGCAGGGCCGGAAGATCCCCCCTGGGCCGGACTTTGCGCGCTGCTAGGCGCCCGGCATCGGGCACGGCGGGAGGGTGCCCGGAGCGAGGCTTGGAGTGGCCGCGGCGGCCCTTGGCTCCCGCCGCTACCGCCACCGCCGCCCTGTTGGTGCGACCGCTTCCTGATCATGTGCAGCCGCCGCCGCCCGGAGCCGGGAGCCCGCGAGCGCCCCAGCCCGGGCCGGCGTCCCCAAAGCTCAGCGACCGCGGCAGGAGCAGAGAGAGAGAGAGAGAGAGGAGCGGTGGCAGGCGCTGCCCTGCGCCGGGAGTGGAGGGCTGCGCGGCTGGCTGCCGGGAGGGTGAATGAGAGAAGCCAGGAGGAGGGGAAGAGGCGGCGGCGGCGGCGGAGGAGGAGGCGCTGCGGGCATTGGGATGCGCCCCGGAGCACCCGCGGCTCGATCGCACGGGGCCGGCCCGGACACTCTGCCACTCCCGCCTGCCTCCTACGTGGTTCCAGCGCAGAGCGCAGGCCGGTCCCGCAGGGGGCAGGGCCGCGGCCGGCCGGGCGGAGCGAAGAGGTGAGGCGGCGTGGGCGCGCGGCGCGGGGCGAGCCGCGGGGTCACGGGCCCCCCACCCCGCGTGCGCCCCCTCTCCCTCCCCGCCCCCCAAGCCCTCGGGCCGCCCTGCTGGAACTCCCGGGCTGGCGCTTTCATTTTATTGCAGACCACGTAGGGGCGGGGAGAGGGGGGGGGTTACTGGCTGGAAGAGAGGAAACAATTCAGGTTTTCTAGGGAGACTGAGCGAGAACCTTGGGTGCTGGTGCTGTGTGTGTGTGTGTGTGTGTGTGTGTGTAAGTGGGGGTGGGGGTTCTCTAGATACTGTCAGAAAAAAAAAAGCACCCCCCCCCCAGAAAAAGTCCGTCTTCTAAGGGCGGTGAGGTCCGGTTCGATCCCGTGGCTGTTTTGCTTTCCTTAGCATATCATCCTTACGGAGAAGAGGATCATATATAAATACTTGGGAAGATTGAGAAATTGCTGAAGAGTAGTAAGGGCAAAAAAAAAAAAAAAAAAAAAAGCCAGTCGGAAGCTGGTTATATAATGCGCGGTGTGGCTAACAAGAGCGGCAAGCTATTTTTATTTTGTTTACCGTATGTTGTGCAGTAGGGACTCCTCCAAACTGGTGCCGGCCCCGATGAGATCCGTGGCTTCCCCGTGCGAGCCGCAGGAGCCGGCAGCAGCAGAAGACCCCTCGTCTCTCCCGCAGCTTGAAAACTAACGCCGGAGCGTGGCATCCCCCGCCGTGCGTGCTCGTGGGGGGACGGGCTGTGCAGACCAGGGCAGCCTTGGCAACCTCGCAGTCACAGCTCAATGTCATTGGCGTTGTAGGGTACAGGCTGCTGCTGCTCCCAGTTGAGCCGCGTTCCCCGTAGATCGCGTGCTGCCCGTGGGTAGTTAGTTACTCGGTGGTTTATTTTTAGGCACAGCTAGTTACTTTTGCGACCGTGTTGGCTTGCTGGAGCTGTTTCTGTTTGGGTTTCTGGGGGGCGCCCCTGCAGTTCTTGGAAGCCCCTGTTCGGGAAGCCCACCCTCCTTCGGTTCCTTGGGGTAGGGTGTGGGGGGGTGGTGGTAAAGGTAGGCGACTAGAGCTTTTTATGGAATAAAAGAGGATGCCTGCGGGAATCAGCAGAGAGGAGGAGGAGAAAATCCTACACAAGAGCTCCCTCGGCAAGGATTGCACCACAACAGCTAATGCTGTGGCATATAATCTCCTTTGATTGCCCTCTAACTGTGCATGCATCCGTCAATATTTTAGCAGCTCTGCAAATAAATGGACTCGAGTGCCACCTTCCCCGTCAAGCCGAGGTGGAAGGGCTCCCCTCTGCTCCCCCACCCCCCCAGCCTCCCGGCCGCCTGCCTTTCTCATCATGTGGATACGTGTCAGCGGTGTAGGTTTTCGGTGCACTTACTCCAACCCCGATCGCTGCTGTAATTAGATCAAGCTGCCATGGCAACAGACAGTGTGCCTCGTCCATTCAGGTGGGTTTGTCTTGTCCCTGAACTACTCCAAGTGTTCTTCGCACAGTATTTGTGCTGCCCGGGCCAGATGAGAGATTTCACTATTTTCAATTGCCTCTTCTTTCAGTCCTTTGGCTGGGAGGCGCTGAATGAGGCTTTTAGCTACTCAACTTTTATAATTGAGACCCGCAAGCTGTTGTTACTGGGTACAGTATGTAAATGCGTCTCCGCAGACGCGGAAAGGAGGGTGACAGTCCTGCTGGTGTTTCTTGTGAGCAGATCAACAAGTATTTGGTTTGTTACAAACCTTCCAGAGCTTCCTAAGGCAACAGTGCTTTTGCAGCCTGGTGCCGTGGGCCTTACAGACACTTAAACCCTTGCGAGCGTGCAGAGTGCCCCTCCCTGGAACTTAATTGCTGGGAGTGAAGGCTGGCTTTCGATTTACTGCTCCTTCGAAGGAAGTAGCTGACTGGGGGAAGGATTTCCCTGTTGTCACGTTTTGAAACTTTGTAGCCATTGCAAGAAAAACTGCTACTGACAGTAGGCAGGCATTTAGAGCGAATTCATTCTCAAGTGTGGACCTCCTGGCTCCGGCTTTAATGCTGCTTGGTAATAAGTTAGAGATTGGTTGTTTTGTTTTTCCGGTCAGGAAGGAATGAGATAGGCCTTTAGCTAGTAGAGGATCATCGAGCCTTGCTCTTGCACAATAAACAATGTGTATTCTGTTTTAGGATGTAATTTAAAGAGCAACATTGCAGTGTTCCTGTTGGGAGACGTGGCCTTATTAGGCCCCTCTAAGCAAAGGAAAATAATATTATGGCAAAAAAAAAATAGTATAGTATATATATCCTGAAGTTCTGGATTGCTCTGGTAACCCGTGGAAGGGGCTTTAATTTTCTCTGATATTTGAAAGACGAAAAACAGACTTATAACGTTTGGATTTAGTTGTGACCTTGCCAGTTGGTTTGTAGTTTTATGACCACATAGCTAAATTGCCGAATTTCTTCCCCTCCCCCGTTCCCCCCCCTCCCCGGTCAGGATTGTGGGCGCTACCTGCACTGTCCTGGTAGAAGAGCTGTGAGTTTCTCCTTGTGCAAGCGGCCTGGTCAAAATGAGGTGTTATGCCCTAGAGGTGAACAGAGCGAAGGCAAGGATATAAAATAAGGCACAAAAGTTTCAATTTCACTCAGTGTCCTGGAGGTCCTGGATAATATTTTGCAACACAGAGAATATTGTTTGTAGCAAAATGGGACCTGGTTTTTTTTTCAGTGTACACGTAAATTCTTGGTGAAATAGGTATGAAAAATGTACCATGAAAGAGAATATTTTTTTCTTTCTGGATTTCGTGTGAAGAGGGTTTGGTAAACTGAAGCAGTGTTTTGTCAAAAGATACTTTTTCCAACACTCATAGGAAATGCATGTTGCTTATGAAAAGAAAAAAAAACTCGCGTTCATTTACAAATTTTTTGTACCAAAATGAACTTACCTTCTAATCCCAGTTTTTTCCATGACCTTGTTGAAGTGAAAGGTCTTTGGAATTATCTTGCAGAGAAAGGTCAAAAAGAGAAGGCACTCTGCCGGTCCGGTTGTATGCCCAACGTCTATAGTTCGTTTGATGTTTGCACATCCCTTAGAGACATCTGAGAGACCTGAGAAATTGTGAAAACATTAATAAACAGTTCTCGGCTCCTGTTTTTTTTTTTTTAATTGCTGTTGTAGAATTCAAGGACTCCCATTCCTTTGTGTAACGTTGGGCCTTTATTTATTTATTCTTTCCACTCTGAAATGTCAACTGGGTTTTGATTTTGTGCATACCTTGTGTCTCTGATGACTAACCCATTGTAGCAGCCGGCTCATTTTGTTTTCTATTAGAAGGCAGTCAGTGGAGACATGACCTCAAGCCGTGAGTAGGAGTTTATTCTTTACGCTGGAGGTATCTGTAGTTTCCACTCTGGAAGGCTGACATAGTTGTACAGGTAGTGACCTCGTGCAGCCAGGCGCTCTGTCCCTTTAAGGGGTGGGAGGTAGATTCACTTCCACTGCTTATATTTCCAGAATAATTCACTAGTTTGGGTGGTTGGCTTCCATGAAGCGTTCAGATCCGTGCAGCTTAATTGCTTCAAAGAACAATTTTAGTTCCGGTCTATCATACTTCCAAGGTTACCAGAAGCAGGCCACTTTATTTGGTTAAATGCACTAAAAGCAATGGTGGTTGTTGTTTTTCTCTCTATCTTTATCCCAATAGAGATAGGAATTTTCTGTTGTAGGACCTTAAAACATTTTTTTTTTTTTTAAAGATACAACTGTCTTAGTCCATCAGCTAGGCTGTTTACATTTTAGTTTCCTTTCGCTTAATGATATAAACATACTTTGAAAAATTTTAAGAAGTGATAGAGTAATGAATATATAGGATTTTTCAGACCTTTTTTAACGTTTTCATTGGCAGCTTTCACTGGATCAAGGTTTTAAAAAAAATGCTGAAACAATTGGGATTGTGGAAGTCATAAAAAGAATGTTGCGTAGGTGAATAATCTATTTCTGGAAATGATTGTTCACTTCTCCTTTATAATACTACTTACTTTTTGTGCTTACAAATCTAGTAACATTTAGAAAAGTTGTATTATTTATTTTCATTTTATTTTTGAAAGGTGGAGAGAGCGAGAGAGAACATTTCCCTAGTTCACTACCCAAAGACTGGAACCAGCCAGGGCTTGGGTTGGGCCCAAGCCGGGAGCCAGGACCTGAACCTGGGTCTTTCACATGAGTAGCAGACACCTAAGTACTTTTTTTTTTTCTTTTAAGACTTATTTTATTTCTTTTTTTAAAAGGTTTATTTTATTTATTTATTTTTTTATCACAAAGATATACAGAGAGAGGAAAGACAGAGAGGAAGATCTTCAGTCCAGTGATTCACTCCCCAAGAGACTGCAACAGCTGGTGCTGCACCGATCCAAAGCCAGGAGCCAGGAACTCCCTCCAGGTCTCCCACGCAGGTGCAGGGTCCCATGGCTTTGGGCTATCCTGAATTGCTTTCCCAGGCCACAAGCAGGAAGCTGGGTGGGAAGTGGAGCTGGTGGGATTAGAACCAATGCCCATATGGGATCTTCGCGCATTCAACACAATGACTTTAGCTGCTAGGTCATTGTGCTGGGCCCTAGATGTATTTTATTTCTTTAAAGGACAGAGTTACGGAGAAAGGGAGAAACAGAGAGCAACGTATCTTTTCCATCTGCCCCTTCAGTCACTAGCGGCTGCCATGCTGAAAGGCTGGGCCAGCTCCAAGTGTGTTCCTCTTGTCTGCTTGCCCAGGCACTGTAACAGGGAGCTGGAGCATAAATACTTCAGCTATTCGCTGCCTCCAGGTTTGCACAGAAGCCGGAAGCTGGATGGTGATCCCAACTGAGATTCCAACCCAAGATGTGGGGGTCCGACCCAACGACATGACTGCTGAACTGAACCCCTACCCCAGGAACTTACTGTAGGATCCTTTGTGAATGTCAACCTTTTATACTGATGTACTATGAATATTTACAAAGGCTGCCAGCATCCCAAACATGCAAAAACAAGTTTAGAATGATCATAACATGCACCCTATTCTGTTTGATGTACTTGATGTGAGCCTAGATGTTTCATTGATTTTTCTATAACTTCTAACGCATCCTATTTGTGGACTAACGGCAATACAGTGGTCATCGCCATAATGTCAGCACAAATGATGCCTTACCTGCAAATCACTTTTCAGAAAATTCATTGTAGTGGAACCTGCATTGGAGACCTGCCTGCGCAGAGGGTCCTTCTAATTACACTGTTTTGATTTGGCTTAAGAGGGACTCTTCTTCTTCCTCCTCCTCCTCCTCCTCCTCTTCTTCCTCCTCTTTCTCCTCTTCCTCCTCCTCTTCTTCTTTCTCCTAGTTAGGTACCCTTTAACCTGATGGGTTTCCTGGGAGTTATTTTTGAGTGGTAATTCTCAGGGCTACTGACTGATGTCATTTTGGCTTCTCATGGGCGTTTTCCTCTCATTGCACGGGGCAGTTTCTGCTTTGCTCTTGTCCTTGCTCCCCTGTCACCCAGATCTCCTGTCCTTCACTGATGGACCATTACATCAATATTATTTGGGCCATCTTTCTTGACGATCTTCAGGATTTATTACTGTTCTATTATGTTGCTTTTCTGGGCATTTACTTACTTAGTTTCTAGAGCTCTAATTTATTTATTTGGAATGCAGAGTTACAGAGAGAAAGAGAAAGAGAGATTTTCATCCGCTGACTCACTCCCCAGAAAGCTGAGATAGGTTGGACCAAAGCCAGCAGCCTGGTGCTTCTGTTAAATGGGAACAGGGGTTCAACTGCATGGACCATTTTTTTTCCCTTGCTTTTCCAAATCATTAATAAGGAGTTGGATTGGGAATAGAATAGCCAGGACTTGAACCTATATGAACATCCATATGGAATGCTGGCCCCAAAGGCCGTGGCTCTGCCGTCGCTCTGCCTCTCCTCTGCTGTAGTCACTGTTTTGTCTGTGGTGTGCGATTATGCAAAACATTCTGTGGATTTTCTTGCATCGTGTTGGTCTGTTTTTGCAATGCAGCTGCACTTTCATCCGTGTGCTACTTTCCCCTGATGGAATTTAGTTATTTTAGCTCTTTTTATTACCCTAACTGGTGTAGCTACATGAATGCTTTTGTAATAAGTAGGCATACCAACTTGAGTGTAAGCTAATATTTTACAGAATTTCAATCATGTTTGCGTGTTTTCTGCACTTCAGAAGGAGGCTGTAATCTGGACTCTATAAAACCTTATCTGTCAGGTAATATGTCAATAGAATTGTGTGCACACACGTGGATCTATAAACACTCTCCCAGCTGTGACCCAGAAAGTACTGGCTGCAAAGCCAGGTCCCTGCACTGCGTAGGAACGTGACTATCCAGTATTGATGTGACATGTGAGATATTACCAGATACATTCAAAACACCGCCTCCCCACCCCATCCCTTAGAAGAAGCGCAGTGCAAGACTCAGATTTGGTGAGCTGCTTCCTTGCTACTATTTATATTTGAAACGCAGCAAGCTTCTTGCTGGAGGGATGGTGAGTTCTAAGGATTTAAAAGATATTTTTCCTCTCTGAGTGCCTTCCTTGTCTGTACACACAGGTTATATGTGGGAGAATCCGGGACTGCAGAAATGGCTTCTTTTTGCATGTGCAGTCCCGATTGTGCAATAGCTATTTAAGTAAATGCTTGGTGAATGGATTAGTTAGAAGGAAGAATACTTTGGCCACTATTCATTACTTTGAAAAGTGCTGGAAAGAAATGGAAGTTATTTGCCTTCCAGCTGGGCTGTGCTCTTAAAAATAGTGAGTGTGTATGGATGAAAATAATCATGACTACTGAGATGCGTTGCCATGCACCCAGGGATAATTGGCTCACTCACCTGTTTACAGATTACTCACATTGGAGATCATATCCATCGCTCCAGAATAGTTTTTCTCTGTCACCCAGTACAATCTTGGGCCGTCTCCTTCCTACTGTTACCTGGCATGAGCTTAGGAAACCCAAACTAAATTTAAAATCAGCCTAAACACATATGCAGATCAGCTGCTCCGGGCCTCCAAGTCTGCAGATCAGCCCAGCATTTACTGGTGCTTGGGGGGAGGGGAATTCTAATAACAATGTTACTGATTCTTCTAGTGGAGTGTGAATATTTTGGAAATTACCAGCATTTAAAAAGATAAATTTTGATATGCCTGAAAAAATGTTAGCAGGTCAAGTCCTCAATATCTTCCGTTTCTATGTGTAGGTCCAAAACTACTACAAGCACCAGAATCCCTGATGGAAAGGTATATGGAAGACTCTTCATTCATTCATTCATTCACACATTCATTCATTCATTTATTCTATGGTAGATGCTTTTACTTAGCCATATGCGAAATGTGCCAAAAATGAAAATGACAGGAATTTACATTCAGCCATTCACTAATTTAAGGGTTAGTAAAATTGAGTGCCTTTGTCCACTCTTGAATAATTCTCCTTCCCCCTCCTCCTTCCCTTTTTTGTTTCTTTGGACTCATGTGCCAACAACTTATTCTTTCGTGATGACCTCTTGACCTGCATGTGGATAGATGGCGTAGATGTTGACAGCAGGCTTTGGTTCAGTTATGATTCAGTCCTTTCCCATTTTTCACTCCCTGTTCCTTGGGATCACCAGCATGCATTTATCAGATGGTTAGCTCAATGCTGTGGAACGAAGAGGGACAAGAGGGACGGCGGCTGGCTCAAACTGGGAGACCAACTTCTTAGTTTAAGGCGGGGACTTCCCTATCCCAAGTTTCCCTGAGTTAAAGCAGTCTCTGCTTTGTTTTTGAGCTGGCTGGGCGCTGTATAATTCTCAAATCAATGCAAAACTGGATTTTTGCTCTCAAACTTCGTGTTCCCGTGAAAATTTTAAGGCCGTCTGATTGGTAGCAGTCTCTTCTGTTTTTCATCTTGGATTTTCTTTCCTGCTCTTCTTGGTCCATTGCAGGGCCATCGTGCAACAAGTCGCCAGGGTGATCCCTTCGAGAAGCAGGCTTGGATTTCGTCCTCGCCCCACGGGCTCCTCCTCCACAGCCGCCACTGGGAAGTGCATCTCCTGTCAGGTGAGAGTTTGGTGACACTCTTATTTTCCATCTGAAGATAAAAATCTGGCCTGGGAAACTCTATGCTTCAGCACTCAGTTGGCTGCTGAATATAATTTTCTTTGCAAACTACAGCAGGCAGGAACTGGAACCATTGCTTAAGATGGTTCTTTTTGAACTTGGGTTAAAGTCTGTTATCTTATTGGCTGCATTGAATTGATTCATGGAGAAGTCCGCCTTTGGCTTTATGATGATTGGTTCCTGCTGTTTGGGGCTTGAGCCTGAGTATTGCAATTGTTACCCAGGCTTGGGAATGTTAGGCTAGAGGTTTGCTGTCACCTGTTTCAGGTTTTAGGTTTCGGTGGTTGTGCAGTTCACACATAGGGAAGCAGAGAACGGTTTGTTCCGGCAGGCAGTGTTTGTTGAATTTTGAATTTCTTTGTATCTGTTTGGATTTTACAACTTCCTGATTTCCTCATGTAACAGTGTAACAGTAAATTTCTCTGGCCTGGAGAGTCCTGCAGGCACTGGGTGGATGTGAGGGTTGATGACTCATGGTTCTTTGTTGAAGATGGGACAGCAGGAGGGTAGTGCCTGCAGCGCAAGCAGGAGGGAGGTGGAAGTGAGCTGTGACGTGTGGCCATCAGCGTTTGGGAGGACTGTGGACAACTGAGCGAGCACTGAACCGCTGGAAGCGACTCAGGCTGAGATGGAGCTTCCCAAACCCAGCTGCGAAATCACCTGGAGAACGTCAAACAGTAGGGGTGGGGACTGCCTGCTAGGGCTCCTGTATCAGGATGCTGTTTGGCGCTGCTGATCTCCTGGAGCTGTTGGTCTCCTGTGTGTGGATGCCTCCCACGCCTGGGAGCTGCTGGGATGTGTGGTCTCCCAGCAGTTCCTCCCAGGTCACCCTGTGCTTCCTTACTTGGTGAGAAGCAGTCTCCTCTTAGCAGCATCATATCCGAACATCTGCCATTTCAAAACTCATTTTGAGAGACTTGCTTTACCAAGCTGTTCGTCACCCAAGTGAGTCACAGATTTCTTGAAAGAGATTCTTGTCAACACTTGAGGTCCAGTGTGTAAAGCCACGGATACGTGTCTCTGGTGTTGGTGTAAAGAGTGTGGAGTCCAGGACCAGCTTTGCAGATGTAAAATGGAGAGCTTCTGTTGGGACCTGGATTCTAACTGCATTCTTTGCATTCCTCTGTACCCTCAGGAGTTGGGATAATTTAGGACTTTCTCATAGAGTTGTCTTGAGGATGGAAGGAATGAAATACTGTTTGTCCAGTGGTTTGTGACATATTAGCACCAGTTATTGCTGGCACATGACAGCTCTTGACATGATGGTTGTGACTGCCTTGTTTGGGGATGTTGGTTCCTGAACCATAGCCATCTAAGATCCAGTAAATAGACCTGCATCTCAACCCTGTGTTCACCCTGTAGATATTTGTCACTCTGCAAAATCAACACATTTTCTGAATCTTAAATACTGAATATATAATAACTCTCTCACTCTGCTAGTATGCGTATGTAGTTTTAAAATATTGTTGGCAGATGAACTGATATATTGCATGCATCAATGGAGTTACTTGTGGGTTGAGTGAGACAGAAAGCTAAGCGAGGGTTATGCCTCAGCAAGGGTAGCAGAGAAAGATCCTGTTGGGGGCGGTCAGTGTAGAATAGGGGTGGGAGGGAGTCGTGGTAACCATTGCAACCTGGTGACATTGCAAACTGAATTCTTTTTGTCATGTTGCTGTGCATTAGCAAGGTGTCCTGTGAGTGGGACTGAAGTCACCTGGAGTTCCATGCAAAGATGAACCTGGTGAGATCTGTAACTGACAGCCAGAGGCAAGGGTGGCGCTCTTCCTGCCACTTCCGCTCTGTGACTTGACCCATTTTACCAGTTATGTGTTAAGCAGAAAATCCACCCATTGAAGATTTTGGGGAGATAGTTTAATTGCATTGGGGGTGAATACACATATACTTTTTTTTTTAAAAAAAAAATTTGTTGTGTTTAAAGAGAGACATTGGTTATAATAAAACATCTCAGGAGTTTTATTGTGAAAAAAAGAAAAGGCAACCGAAGTCATCGCTGTTGGTGAGAGTGAACAATGCAGATGAGAGCCAAGTTTTTATAGTCTATTCAGCTAGTCTGAGTATCTTATGAATACTCATATTGTGTTACTGAGAGAGTAGTGCAAAGTCACCTTGAATTTTAAGCAGCTGACATTTTCTGTGATCACATTTAAAGGAAGCTCATATGTATTATCTAAACATTATACATAAATAATGGCCTCACTCCAGTCCTCACAATGGATGGTGAACCATGGGCAAGCAAATGGTATCATTCATGTTGTACTGTTATTTCCATTCATTTTTTTTTTAAATGAAAGCCTAGCCTACAATTATTTCTGGCCCCAGTTCTTTTATAAATATGATAGAGTTGTAGCAAGTTATGACCCAACATGTTCACAGTCACGGTCTATATAAAGAAATGATTCATTCATTTATTCACTGTGTGTGTGTGTGTGTGTTTAAATTGCTTCATGGTGCTGTGGGAATGAGAGTGAGTAAGAGCTACTGAAAGGAGGTTATGCTTTTCATGGTCCAGGAGGAGAAAGAACAAATGCTGTGAAATCACCAACACCAAGGGGAAGTGGGGTGGATTGTATGTGCAAGGTGCGTTCTAACATGGAAGGAATTTGCTGGGAGGAGGAGGCTCTACTGGGTTGAACTCAGAAGGCTGGGTTGCATCTGCATGCAAAGGGATGAGTGGAGGAAGACCTGGAACACAGCAGTCCAGTGGGTGAGCTGTGGCTTTTCTGGGCACTTGTGGCTGGATCCTGGGTGCTGGTGGCCAGGACCCTCTCTGGAGTCAGACAGACAGTAGAGAGTGTGGCCGTAAAACTGCTGAGAGGTTAGGTCTGGAGATAAATTTGGAGGCATCCTTGGCAGCAAAGTGATCTTTGAAATTGGGCTGTAGCTTCTCCTGCCTGGCCAGGAGTTTGCCATTGCCAGGAGGGGATGACAGCATCTCGGGGGGTGCATGGTGAGAAGGTAAGAGGCAGCAGAGGGGAGGGGGTTGCAGGGTGGCTGGAGCCCGGCTGTACTGTCACTGCTCCTCCTTGAAGGAGGGCTGCGGGTGGTGGAGGAATTGGGAGAGAGACAAGTGGGTAAACAGGGGTCTTGCGACCTGGCTCAGGCACTCTGGACAGCTGGTGCTGAGGCTGCAGCTCCATAAAATCTTGCTGAAACTTTTGTTTCTTTAAGACCTTTACAAAATAGGAACATGAGTTAATTTTAGCTGAATCTAAGATGAATGTGTATTGCATCTGAAACTCGGCGCATGCGCTATCTCTATGCATCTAATCAAATGATCCCCTCTATTTTCCCTTTAAATGGTTTTACTAAGATTTTCAGCAGAGCTCCATACGTATTAACAACAATCCCAGCGTTTCCTTTGATCTCTGGCACCGTTGATTTATTCCTCTCATGTGGTAGGGTAAATCACCTTTGTGTCACTGCTTGATGCTATAGCAATTGCTCATTTGTGGCAATTCATTGGCCACACTTTGATACATCCCATCCCTTTGGGTGCATTTTGTAATCTTAGAGGGTTTCCCAGGGCTTTTCTGGGAAATGTTCGAGGGTTATTCTGGAAGTTTATGAGAAAGCATAGTATGAAAGAAAATTATGCATAATTTCAAGTTTTTCTTGCACCCAAGTGCGCATACCTCTTAATTCCATTTTTCCATAAACTGTCAGAAGCACCTTGGTCTCTGCATAGAGCCATCTACTAGGCACAGTTCTTTGAGTGACTGATGTCCATTGTCAATCCAAGTCCATTGAATTTCCATTGCAAAGAAAACCAAAGCTATGTAATCAGCTGGCTTCATCCATGGGGGAAAGTTAGCCTGACACTGCTTGCCTGGAAATATGTGGGTATGTTGATGTTAGGGAGCGGTTTGTTTTAACATAATTAGAAAAACCTGGAGGCCAATTTGTGCTATGGGGGAGCGGACAGCGGTAACCACAGTATCTAAATGGATTGACTGTGTTAGCTCAAATGACTTAGGAGAAAGACAGTGACTTGCTTAATTTTCACTGAGGACAAGAGAGTTAGGACAAAGTGAGAGGGATGGAGAATATAATTCATAGCCAATTTTTGGTCTGTGAATCTTTAATGAGTGTATGTAATGTGAGAGAGGCATCGGACCAGACAGCCCCTTTTAGAGGGATATGGAAATGACTGACAGTTCTCCCCTCAACTTTTCATGCTCTCTGCTTTCTGTCGGGGTAGCCACTCACTGTTGCAGTTTCCATTTCACAGAGGAGGAAGCTGGCAACAGAGAGAGACACCAACTTGCCCAAAGTTGCCCAGCTATTCAATGGTAGAGTCAAGCTTGGGTGCCAGCTTACACTGTGGACTGTGGCTGGACATTGCCTCTGAAGCCTTCCGCCCTGTCCAGGAACCCACTGAGTGCCGGAGGCCAGATATACAGAGGGGCAGGTGCAGCATCCACTCTGAGAGGTCAGGATCAGGAAGGGTGTGTAGGGCTGGGAGCCCTGTGGGCTGCAGGCTCTGTGATGCAAGCTGGCCTTCCAGTATTTCCTTTCTTTTTTTTTTTTTTTTTTCTCTCTTCCTCTTGCCTCCCTGAAATTCCTACGCACTTTGAGTAATCATTAATGGGAGAAAATGATGACAGGGCAATGTGCTTATCTCTTTTGGAGGATTGGCTCACATTGGCTCCGAACGGTGTTCAGCATCTCAAGTCCCAGTGAGAGGATGAACTTTTGACTCTGAAAAGAGTTTCCACTGGGTCATTGCTCAGCTTGCAAGATTTGGCAGATAGGAACTGTTTATCTCTTCGCTCCGATAGGGTAGTTGCAACGCTGAAGGCAAGCTTCAGGAGCCAAATGGCTGCAGAAACGAGGTCAGATTGTGGGCTGGATGGCTGTGCGAGGGTCTCAGAGGACCTGGTGGGTTCTCTGTCCCTGCCTGCCCCAGCCCGCTCAGAGTG